TAAAATCACACTACTTGTCAAATTGGATATGTAACTAGAGTACTTGCCAAGGAGTCAAAAGCCAGCCATCCTATCATAGTCTAGAAGCTAAACTCAAACATTGCTTATCAAAGTCAGATGACACCCCCTCCTTTGGGAAGTCAGAACTCGGCCCTCAGGATGGGCATTATGAAAGAGACCTGATAAGAACATAAATGCAGAGGCAACTGGAGGCAATACTGTTATTTTCCACTGCCTCCCTAGCCACACCCCATGGAAGATAAATGCTGAAGAGCGTACACACAACCTGAACCTCCACATATTTATTTAAATTTTGCATTTAAGTAAAATGATCAAGGGGCATTATCCAGGAGGTTCAGGCCCTTAAGATCACATAGAGGCCTTCTTTAGTTTTATGTCTATCAGTTTTGTAGATCTAGATAAACAAAAACAATAGATTCCTAACAGCTATTTTCAGTCCTATGCACGTTCCTTCAGCCCATAGAGGTGATGCTGATGTTGGGTCGGAGAAAGCAAAAATTGGAACCTTACTGCTTTCTGCTTGTAATACAGTGGGCTCCCGCTCCTGACTGAAGATTCTGGATCCTGCTGTCATATAAATCTGGACTGTGAAACACAGCCTTCGTGCCACATGTGGCCCATGAGGAGTTAAACTGAGGCCCCTGGGCTTCCTTCTCTGCTGCAGCAGCTGCTGGGGCTTTGGGCTCCCTCTCTGCCAAGGGGTAGCTGGCACATCCTGTAGTGCAGGGAGCTGAGACAGGGTCCACTAGCACATGAAGTACAGGTGGGGGGCTGCCCACACTCATGGTGCATCACGGGTGGGGTGTCACCTACATGTAGTGCAGCAGACAGTGGTTTCTGTGTGTGGTGCAGCAGCAAGGGCTGTCTAGGGGCCCACCGCTTGCATTAGTATGGTCCCTGAGGTGTGCAGCTCCGATTGATGTGGCCCACATAGCATACAGCCTCTGGCTGCTGAATAGTTGGATAGCCCTAATATATATAAATAAGAACATTGGCACTGGAGGGAGGAACAGAGACAGACAGATACCACTGTGTAAAGAAAAAAAGCAGTGTTTGATGGTTGCACACAAAATAACCAAAACAGGTTTAGTCTTTCTCATGGCCATGAGCAGAATAAGTTCTGCTAAACAGATTTTAAAACCCTGCTGGAGCAGTAGGTAAGCACACTAGGGATTCAGATTCCTATTAACTTCAGTGGGAATTAGATGTCTATCTCATGCAGTTTTTTAAATCAGTTAATGTACACCTTTGTGGGGGGACGAGGGGAGCCAGGAGGACATGGTTAAAACAGCATTATCTGTTCTTACAGAACCAGTTGTGTTGGAGCCAGCTCCATATAAATAGGTCTACACAATAATGACAGCAAGTTTTGAAATCTAGTTAGCTGATCTAGTTAGCTGTCCCTGCTACACCTGGTTATTAGTTATCAAGAGAACTGTGAGTATATGTTGAGTCAAAGTGAGGGAGGCTTTAAGTGTGGTCTGGATAAAGGGTCATGGGGTCTACCGAGATGTTGGGGGAGGGAGGTGATCGCTATCTCAGGGGTTTGGAAGGGGCAGAGTCTTGCATGGGGGATTATGGGGAAAAAAGTGGCATTTGTGCTAGTGGGATGGAGAAGCAGAGGGGAGGTTCATTTCTGAAGTGTGTGTGCAAAGGTGATGCCTACAACTTGGGCACTAGGTATAAACAGTTTCGTTACAAAATTCCAGCTCCAGAATGATGATATTCAAGGAAGTAATTGCTAGTATAGAATGTAAAAGTTACTTTGCCACTATAATGGCATTAAGGCAAATTGACAAGGATACAACAGAATTGCATCTTCAAGAGGTTCCCTTAAGGCTAGAGATCTTTTGCTCAGTTAGAGCTGAATCTTCCCAAGCAGTTGCTAATGTTGTGAACTAAGGCTACTATAATTAGCAGCTATTACATTTATTCAGCCTCATTAGGGATGCCTTCCTGACCTTGGGATTATTATTTTGATCAATCCAGTCATTACTATTGAATTTCTGAAGGAATTTGCTCTCTTATCAATATGCAATCAACTTTTCCCCGCTGCTACTAATTCTGAGTTCCACTTTCAAATAGTGTAGTGTAATCTTCAACGCAAATGTACTGTTTATTTCCTCACAAAATAATCTATACTACAGCCCTTTGGATCTGGAAAAACAGCTACTAACCAAGTTAGAAATACAAGTGAAAGGTCAGCTGCAGTTGTTTTAAAAATATGCTGCTTGTGAACTATTGTACAACATGCATGAGTGTTGTGAGAATTAAAGGTTTGTATAGCATAGTATAATAAAAGGCTTTCACTATGATGAAAGGTTTTTACTGCTAGTTAGCTCAAGGGAAGAGCAAAGTGAGCTTTGTGCTGTGGTATCTCAATTGCTAACCAGTATAAACTAGCTGAGTTGTGCCTAAGAGCTTCAGTCACTGCAGTATAGCAAAAGCAACCACACTGCAGAACATCCGAGTTACTGAGTGATCTACCAGCAGAGTGACTGAAGTAATAGCTGCTGAGTTGTTCTTCAAGCTGCTGCATTTATACAGCATTTGGAGCCTCCAGGTGTCTTTCACACACCCATGCAAGCCTATTGATTTCTCACCACTGGTAAAAAAGACTGTCCCAGTGACTTCACTTTTACATCAGTAGTGATAAACTCTGCCTTCAGCTGGTTTTAGGGGGGTTGGTTACTGAAGAAAAGCAGAAGGCAGAACAACTTGCATCAGACCTTAATGTTCTGCCATTGAGACTGCCCTTTGGACTGGAATTGTTGAAACAAAACTTAAATGAGTCCAATGTCCAAAATCCAGTCCAGTGAGGGGCACAGAAGAGCTGTAGCTGTTACTGAAATTAATAGGCTAGTATAGTAGCAGTGTGGGGGGAGGAGAGGGCTTGATGCCCCTTCTGGCAGTGCAGGGGCAGATTTTATCCCTCAAATAAGAGACACCTTCCCAAGGCTTAATGTCTTAGAGCAAACCTTTCAAACCTAAATCAGGGGCCTGAATTTCAAAGTTGATCACCCAAAGCTACACTGACTGCCATGGCAGCTGGGGGTGCACAGAACCTATGGATTGTAGCTTTTATGAGTCTAAATATGGATTAATGTGCCCATGTATATGACCTCCAGCTGGAAAATGTTGGATTGACCTTCCACATCCCTTGGGGTTAGTTAGCTTGACTTGAACACAGTGCTAACCCTGAGGTACAGATTTTTGTGGGGATAGGAGCTGAGCTTGAGCTGAAACTATCAATGCAGTGAAGGCAGCCTGTGGATCCTAAAATGTATCCACATTTAGATTTGTTGCAAATAAAACATGGTACAAGAAGCTTTGAATGAATTTACCATTACTCAACCTTCTAGAGCCTTAATTCTTGACTTCAGCTTACTGATTAAAAATGTCTGATGACATCCCTTTGTGTATTGTTGTAGGTGATTTCAGTGGGATCAACTTTTACAGATGCCAAAGAATTTGAAGTCTGACCTTGGCAAATGAGTGAAAGAAAATTCTTCAAATATTTGATCTGCAAGTGGAACTGTATGTGCAACTGATAATTGGTATAAGAGCAAGTAGTAAAAGTTTTATATAATAATTTTAATTTATTAGGGCTTTAGAAACAGGGAACCTCAAAACAAACTATGGAAATATTTTCTTTTTAAACATGGGGAAACAGAGTATGTCAATGCTGCAATCACACTTTTGATTGCAAACATAGATAACCTCGGGCCCATAGGGTGTTTGCAGACATATAAAAAACAAACAACCCCCCCTCCCCAAAACCCCCCAAACAAACCAGTGCTTTACTTTAAATTCAGTGCGTTCCTGTGCTGAGCCCTGTGCATGCCCAGGAGAGGCAGCACGTTGCTTCAACCTGGCCTGCCCAATGTCTGTAAAGAAGAGGTTGCTTTAGTGGGGCTTTTATCTAATAGCTGGTTAAATCAGCTTTAGCTAAAAGTGCCAAAAAGCTCTGCTGAAGCACCCAATCTTTACAGATACTGAAAAGCTGGGTTGAAGTAATGTGGTGCTTCTTCTGGTAAAGTGCATTTGTTTTTTGGGGGTTTTTTTTTGATGTCTCCAAGCAGCCATCCATGGTGGTTAAATAACTTGCTTAAATGGACAGAGCTAACCCAAGGCACAGCCATGACTCTTGCTTTAGCCTGTGAGGTCTTGCAGAATGTCAGTCTCTGAACATTTTGCAATTCATCTTGTCCATAGAATAAATAATAATTTCTTTTCTAGTGAGAACTGGGGTACCTGGGATCACTTTACACAAGCTAGATTAAGTACCATTAACACTGAAGCTATAGTGGCATAGACTTGTGCACTTTTGCAGCTGAGGCCTGTTCTGACATGGCTTCACTGTTATCAGTTAAGTATGATTATAAAGATATCTTAATGTATGGTTTTTATATATTTCCAAATTTATATTAGATGGTTCCTCTGCTCTGTTACTGTGCTACTTCATGGCTAGTCTTTTCTGTATGCAATCTTCCACATAGCTATTAGGGCATCACATTGGTAAGACTGTATCTGAAAATGTTTTAAGTTTGCTTCCTTAAGGAGCAACTCACACTTTTCTTTCAGGTATCCATGCCCACCCCCATTTTAAAGCAGAAAGAAGATGCCGTCTTTTTTTGGTCACAGCTGTACTGTTACAAAAACTCACTTCCCATAAGAATAGTGCCTGATCTCTAAAGACCTACATGTGCTTGTTCGGCTGCTTTATCTTTGTAGCTTAACTATGTGATGCAGCTTTAGATCTAATCCTATAAGCTAAAAACCATTAACTCCTGCTGAGGAAGCTCTACATGTAGGAAGTATACCAAGTCTGTCCATAAAGTATTCTCTTTTCTTCTGTTGTGATTTAGATAAAATGTTGATAACAGTTAAGCATGTGTTGACTCAAATTATCACAGAGGAAAACTTTCAGGTATAGGGAGGGCAAAGGATGTGAAAAGGCTACTCCCGTAAATACAAACCTTGATTGATGTGGGTGCTTCCATCAAACAGGCCACTTGATGCTGTTTTTGCAAAATATTTATTAAAAAACTAAAGTAAATATGGCAACAAAACTTAAATAGCAAATGACATGACACTGGCCATAAAGCTTTCACTATATTATTCTAATCAGTCTTTTACAATAGCAATAATCAAGTATGTCTCCAGGGAAAGCCACATGTAAACAGCCTGAATATATCTATATATTATAAACTCCTAGCTGTTTGAGAGCTATTAGATAGTGTCTCCTGCTTAATTGGCACCTGATACTGGGCTCTCTGGGCAGTGTGCTGGGTACATTCAAATAGCTGAAGTGAGTGGAAGCTGAAGAGACTCAACACTGCAGGATCAGGCCTTTAAAGATGCAGCAAGTTATCCAGTACCCTTCTTCTCTCCTCTTTCTTCATTTCAAAAACATTTTAGAAAATAAAGAAAAGGGAATTGGAGCAGCAAGGGAACCTGCACCAAAGTACCTTGCATTCCTTTCTGAGTCAGTATCTCACAGGTCTCAAAACTGAAGCTGTATGTCTCAAGAGGCATTTGTTTTACCCTTGGTGAATTCCTGCTAACCCAAGTTTTGGTTGCAGACTGGAGGGCAACTCAGACCCTCAGATCTTTTAAAAAGCCATATCCAATGGAGCTTTTTGTAAAAAGGGGATAGAAATCTTCAAAAAAGCATCCATGAATTTTAAAAACCCTCTTTCTGCTTAGATTACTAACAGGACACACTTGCTCATCTTGTCTGGTTAACCATGACTTTAAATCCAAAGAGACGGTTGTTAAAAATGTTGGCTAATTAGGAGCTCTAATATATATGAAGACATAGTTGAATACCATTAAAAAACCCTTAGTAAATGTAAAGCGCTATGTCCAGACAACCCTAGGTTTCACTAACTACACAAATAGATCAAGGACAACATGTAGAAATAGTCACATTGATTCCAAGGTTTCCATTGTCTGCAAAAAGGTGTGCTATAGCTGTATCGAAAACTAGACAGTCGCTGTTCATGATGGCTGCAGCCACGCCATCATGAATAGAGCGGGGTGTTGCCTCCCAGGTTAACCTGCGACGGTTCCCATTCAGTTCAAGTCTGTATGCAAAGTTCTCTGCTTGTTTGCGGGTGCCAATGAGCAACACGATGGCAAAAAACTGTTGGTGACCCTCATACTTCTCCTGCTTCTCTAACACCAGCATGAAGTGATGACCAAAACAAGACTGCATCATGACCCAGTCGACGGCTCCTGGAAGGTTAATGTCTGTGGCAAGAAAGACTATGTCTTCTCCCTGAAGGGTGGTGATACTTTTGTGGGCGTGCATTAGGTGGGACATTACTGCTTCCAAAGAGCCCTGCCATTTACAGGAGGCACCAGGACATGGACAGGAGTACGGCCGATATTCACAGATGTCTTCATGTTCCGGCTTTTCTGTATGGTGGAGTGTCAGGGAACAGCCTGTGGTGGCATACTGGAAAGAAACAAAACACAAGCCATCAAGAGACCTGGCCATTTTTATTGTTCAAATGCTCCCAGTTGGAAAGAGCAAACCACGGAGCGTCGGCAAGGTCATCATTGTATTTCAAATGTTATATGTCACATGCTCTAGGCACAGAGTTGAGCTTTATTTTACCAAACATTTATTCTTGTATTGTCTGCTTTTCAGTGCATATTTTAAGCACTTAAATAAATGGATTGTAAGACGGTCTGAGTTCACCCCAGCGTGTGCATCTAGAGCTGTTCAGCTGAATTAAGCTGAAATGATCACAGCTGGGTTGTCGTCTTTTCTGAAAGTACAGAAGACTCCATGCCTAAAATCCAGGTGGGACAATGAAAAACATTTGTAGGCATTTGGACAAAACTGGAATTGGTCTTGAATTCAGTGAAATATTTGTTTGAATATTTACAGTCCCAGTGCTCTGCTCCTGCTCTTCTCCTTGATGAGAATCAAAGGAATGACACTATCTTCAACAAGTAAAGGCAAGAGCATGAAGAAGTTAAAAATAATTTAAAACTCTTCTTTGTCAATTTCTGAGCAACACAGGTAAGGACATGTGGCAATTTATTTTCAACCAGCAAACATACTTCTAAACTGTCAAAATAGATTCAATACTCCTTGAAAAAGAATGCATTTCTTCACCTTCTTATAGCAATACCCCCTTAGGGAGAAAAAAAATCCTTCCCTTTTTACCCTAATGGTTGAGCTCCCTCAGTGTTGCCGTGTGAGACAAGCCAAGGCACTTCCTAAACTGACAGCAAGAAGCCCTGCCTACATACATACCTAGAATCCAAGTGATAATGGATTAAGCAGTTTTCCTTCCCCATATGGCTTAAGTCTAATGAGATGGTCATACAATGACACAGACCTTACAGGAGAGGTCAGTTCTTCACTTCCCATAGTACCAATTTATATACCCATTTTATTTCCAGCTTTACCGAGGGGGACAGTCCAAAACACCAAATAGAAGAAACCTGAGCCACTATGCCACAGCATCTGAGAAGTTGTTGTTTAACTCTTCTATATGCATGATAGTTAAAAAATGTCAAAAGACAGTTCTTATGTCAACTATAGCTTGGTGCAATTGAAAGTGCTACTGGGAAGTTCATCTTGGAATTCCCTGCCTTTATCTCAATATTAATATGCTCTTAATAAATATCACTGGTATTTTGGGTGTTAACGATTTCCTTTAAAAATAGCAAGAAAGTATTTGGTGGCATAATAATTTGGGTTCAGAAGTCAGGGAAGATCCAAGAGCAGATGTGGTTACGGCTGACCTGTAATTTTTAAAAATTGGATTTACTCTTTGTTTTAACATCGCACAAAAAGACACTTTTTAAAAACAATATCAGGATTGTCAAGTTTTGGAGGACCCCAGATATTTATTAAGCGATTAAATACCGTAACACAGAAGATTGAGTGGCTGCATCTCTAACATTATATCCTTTATTCAAAATGTATGCTAATAATTGGACCTAAGCAGCAATACTGAAACCATACAATTGTCCATACTTTGACTAAAAACCTTTTCTCAGGTACCATTGTCATAAATCGTGTACTATCAGAACACTGCTAATCTTGGTTGTCATACAGTCTTCAAGGGTAGACAGCATCTTTATTTCTCATGCCAAAATAAACAGATTTTGATAGTGGGACATTTAAGGCTGCCTTTACAGATTACAAAGCTTAAAAAAAAACAAACACACAACCAATTTTTTACCTTCCTTTGTAAATCAGTCAGGTCTGTTGCCTCTTATAAGCCAGCCTTTAAGAAAGGGCTCAAGAAACCAAACTGACCAATTCGCGTGCTTACAACTATGAACAGCCAATAATAGTCATTACCAATTCACAGGTGGGATATAGTAGCTGCAGCAAACTCAATATACCTTTCAATACTTGTATTTGTGCTCTACTTATTTACAACATATGAAGTTCAGCTGATACTCTTGATGCAAGTACTCAAGTACTTATGGGACTCTACTGGGTTGAGAAATTATGTTTAGAGTGCCTAGAAACATCAGTATTTTAGAAAGAACCCTTAAAAATTTGTGGCAGGTGGGAGTACTTTTGGCTCCACCTCTTTCTTGAACTATAAAAGGCAGTGAGCTAAGGAGTCAGTTCAGGTTAAGCAACTGAAGGAAAAAACTTCTAATGTTGAACAGAGGCATTTATTCAAGCTTGCAGCAACAAAAAGCACCTTACATGTGAGGAGCTATGCCTGAGAGAGAGAGGAATTCAGGTTTCAATCTGAGGAGGAAAAGGCAGAAGACCAAGGTAGGAAATGGCACTGGGAACTGTGTGTGCTGGGGGGTTGCCCTAGCAACCTCACTACAGTATTATCCTCACAACAGTAAAGAACAAGGACCTAGTGCAACAGAGTAGGCCAAGATCTCCAATGGTAAGCGTCCCCTCCTGACTGTTGAAAGTGATACTACTATTATTAGCCAGTAATAATTATAACTAAAAACACACACTAAAGTACTGCTTCCTTATAAATCAAGTATATATGAACAGAGGAGATTGTTTTAGAAACCCATGGACTCAGTAGGTAGGACTACATCTGTTCCCGCTATAGGATTCTTGTTCCTCATCTATGCTTCTGGACCAACAAGCCAAAGTTCTAGTTTGCAAGCTCTCCAGATATATAGTGATATGCTATCTTCAAATACTTAAAAGCTTGAAGACTTTTCTGTTGCACATGATGATAAATGGTACCATTAATATGTCATAGTTTGTGCAACATATGCATTTGTGCCACT